GTTGTGTCAGAAGTTTATTCTGTGTGGAGAACAATGAGAACATACTGAAATTAATTGAGCATAATGTTGGAGGTACAGATCTATTAGATAATAAATAACATCTTTTCTCAAGCTACTATTCTCAGATGTGTTGGATTGTTTATGGCACAGTGCTGCTTATGACTCTTATCAACTGAGATTGAAGCAAATCATGATTTATCAATGTGTGCATGCACTGTGATTATATCGCCAAAAATATGGGTGTAGATTTTTCAACCTGCATGAGTAATAGTGATAGTTGTGGCCATTCATGTTGGGATTTTTTTGTCTATTTTCTAACTTTAGAATATACATAAGGATCTGGAGGAGAAGATTGCTCGTTTCCATCAAAGAGAAGATGCCATTCTCTACATCAGCTGCTTTGATGCCAATGCTGGGATCTTTGAGGTTATTATCTTTGTGTAAATAGGAGACTGACGCAGTGAGGGGTGGATTACCCATCACAATCGCAAAGCAACTGTCTGTGCAGTAATTTCTGAATGATTTGCTATAGTAGTTTTATTACAATAAATAAAATTGTTCTGAATCATCATGATGTTATTATGGCCCAGTGATTACATTCATAATATGGTTTATGATATGATATAACAGAATAACAGAGTTGGAAGGGACCTTGGAGGTCTTCTAGCCTAACCCCCTGCTCAAGCAGGACATCCTATACCATTTTAGACAAATGATTGTGCAGTCCCTTCTTAAAAGCCTCCAGTGCTGGAGAACTCACAGCTTCTGAAGGCAAGCTGATCATATGATTTGATCTGGTTTAGTCTATTGTGTAAACCCAGCCAAATATAGTTTATTTAATCATGATTAACTATGGCCTAATGTGACATACGTATGTAGTATACAGTATTCCAGAAACTTGTATATGGAAACAGACATAGGAGTATAGAGCAAGAAATGTAAACAGCTGTCAAAGGAAAACAAATGTTCAAGTAAAAAGACTGTTATTACATGTATTCAAAATAAACATACCAACATTCTAAACAGCAAAAATAAATACCTTAGCAATATTAAAATGTTTATTCCCATTTATGATGGGATTGTTTTTTATAACTATTTCTTTTCTGATATTTACAGGCACTTCTGACACCTGAAGATGCAATACTGTCAGATGAACTGAACCATGCTTCCATAATTGATGGAATCCGTCTTTGTAAAGCCAATAAGTATCGTTACAAACATATGGATATGCAAGATCTGGAAGTCAAATTGCAGGATGCACAGGTTAGTAGCTGGACTATTCCTTTGCAGCTTGGTAGCCTGAGGTGGGGAGAGGGGAACCGGGCCACGCAAGCGATGGGCCAGTGCACATGTGTGCATGCAGCTCAACTTGCACGAGCAACAGGCCAGCACATGCGCACACAGGTCAAGTGCAAGTTTAGCTACATGTGTGTATGCACACATGCTGGCCTGCCACTCACCGCAAGACAAGCTCTGCACACTGGCCCACCACTCACATGGCCCGGTTGCAGATAGGTCATGGCCCAATAATGAGCTGCAACCTGGGGGTGGGGACCTCTGTTCTAGATTGTTCAGTAGAACAGATCTACCAAAAACCAAAGCAAAAGAAAATTCTCAGGTTCTTTAACTTAGACCAGTGGTGGCGAACCTATGGCACGCATGCCAGAGGTGGTACTCACAGCCCTCTCTGGGCACATGCGCCATGTCCTGGAGATGGCAACCGTCCCTCTTCAACTAGCCGCCTGCTAACTCGCCGAGGTCCCACATGGCCAGATGCATCCCAGCACCCATGCGCTCGCTGGCCTCTGTGTGTGGGGGCCGATGGTGTCAGGCAGCAGCCGCCCCTGCCTCACCTTGCCCTGTGACAATGGCACCCCCGCTCTGCCTCACCTTGCCTCGCGTCACCCAGCAGGATGAGCCTCCTGCCCACTGCCCCACCTGCCAGACACCCCCTGAATCTCCCCCAACCTTGCCCGGCCCCCACAGGCATCCCTCCCCACGAGCAACATCGAGGTGATCACGCCCACCTTGGCCACGCCCACCCAGGCTGCCATGACCACCACAGCCACGCCCACCCAGTGGGCCACGCCCACCTGGTACCCAGCGATAAATAAGTGGGTTTTGGTTGCAGTTTGGGCACTCGGTTTCTAAAAGGTTCACCATCACTGAACTAGACAGAATCCCTTGCCTATACTTTGTTACCCACTGTTCTGCACAGAAACATCGTCTACGGATGGTGGCCACAGATGGTGCTTTTTCCATGGATGGGGATATTGCCCCCTTAAAGGAAATATGTAGGCTCGCTCAGAAATACAAAGCCTTTGTTTTTATCGATGAATGTCATGCCACTGGATTTCTTGGGCCCAATGGCAGGTAAGAAATTATTACTTTTTTCTGATGGAAAGGTTTTAGAAAAGCAGCTATAGTGACTATATTTGTTGAGAATAGCAAATTAAAATTTGTTTCTCTGTTGCTTTTCGTATAAACATCCTGCATTCTGACTTGCCACATCAAATTATCCATGATTTCTTAAATAAACCATGATGTCCAAAGCACTGCAAAGCATTATTGATATGATTTCTGGTCCACAATGATTGGATTCCCACAACAAGCTAAGTCAAAATCAAATAAAACACAGTATGATTTAGCATATAGTATAGACAGTTCTTGCTTAATGACTGTCTTGTTTAGCAACCATTTGAATGTCCTATGGCACCGAAAATAGATTTATGACCAATCATCAAAGTTACATTGGTTGTAGCTTTCGTGCAGCAATGGGTTTGCAATTCAAGTGCTTGGCAACAAGTGTAATTTACAACAGTTGCGGCATATCACAGTCATACGATCATCATGTGCATCCTTCCCAGCCAGCTTCTAACAAGCAAAGTCAATGGAGAAGCTGGCAAGAGGTTGCAAGTTGTGGCTTAACAGCTGCGGATAATTCACTTAACAATTGGAGTCGCTTGATATATGTTGGACTTGGTGATGTGCTATGTTGCTTAGCAATGGAGTTGCTGGTCCGAATTGCGGTGGTTAAGTGAGGATTCTCTGTATATTATCCCTCTCTCAGCAGTATATAATAAGATCTTAATAACAAGAATCATGGACTAGAATGGAAGTTACATCATCATGAAAAGTTTGATGGAATGGGGATCTGCTTAAAGGATGATGATAATGTGTTTGCCATTCTGCTTGTAGGATGACAACAAATACAATGCATTCCGTGCGGTATTTACATTTGTGTGAAATTCTGTATTTAAAGGGAAGTATTAGCCTTTTATTTGTGCTTGCATTACCCCTTGTGCATAGATCAATTTTTTTCTCAGACTGTGTTTCTGGGAATTCTTTTGAGAATTGATCATAAGTGGTAGATAAGTATTCCTAAAACTATATTAATCTTCTGCAATACAAGTGCTGTTGAGAAATAAGCACATTTACAAGCTTGTGGGCGCTCCGGTCCTCAGGTCTCCACTCGGTTTCCGGGAGACTTAGACCCTCCGGCCCGGGACCTTCGGCTGATGCTATGTAATGCCAGGTCCGTGGTAAACAAGGCCCCCTCATACAGGATCTTATTCTGGAGGGGGGCGCGGACCTGGCAGGTATTACTGAGACCTGGCTGGGCGTAGAAGGTGGAGTTCCACTAGTAGACATCTGCCCGCCGGGTTTTCAGGCATTCCATCAGCCAAGGACCCGGGGTAGGGGCGGGGGGGTAGCGGCCATTATAAGGGAGAGCCTTTGTCCAAGGGAGACCNAAGATCAGAGGAAGAAATAATATAAATGAAATCAAGTCCTGTGTGGGTGAGCTGTCCCTGTCTGAGATAAACTTTTTGAATTTGGAAACAATTTTCCTAGCATGAAATCAGAGTTAGATAGACCTATTTGGAAAGGTCATTCTACAAGCCAAGAAGAGAAATCATTCTGCAGGAGATGGTCCCCTCCAATTTCCACCCATCTTATCTTACTCAACAGAACATCACATTAAGATCCCTGGGTGTGGTGGATCAGTCAATTCCAGAGAGGTTTGTGATCCCATGTGGGTAAGTGTTAAAGGAAAAGAACTGGCAATTTGAACTGATCCTATGTCCTGACTTCTATTAATAATTTATATACGAAGAATTGATTGTAGCTCCCAAACTGACTTCAAGGCAGTTCCACAGGGAAAATGTGAGCGTAATCTGACCATGAAACCTAGCAAAACATCTCCAAAGTTTCTAGTCTGGAAAGTTTGCAATTGGCAGTGTAACTTTATTTGATACAGGCACTTGCCTGTCTGGAGAAGTACTGAGGCTCAGAGAAAACCTAAAGCCCCAGTGCTTCTGAATAGAGTAAAAAGGCTGTTGAATAACAGCCATGAGAAATTTTAATACATACTATACTGTATACCATTTGATTTCCTTTCAGACATGAAGGTTGAGCACAGAAAACAGGCAACCCCGGTATATTTATTATGCCATGTTCCATTTCCAGAAACATCCAGTAGCTTCAAGAGCCATTGCTTGTGTTCACTTAACAAGCCACATACAAGTAATCACATGTTGCTCCGTTGTGTTAACTCAGCAAAAACGAGCTTCTCTTTTTCACAGATTTCAATTGCATTAACTTGGGTGGGGGAGAGAAGGAAATATCATGTATTTCACAACAATTCTTATTAATCCCTATTAACATTTTCAAAAGTTTCCATTGTTTTTCTAGTCAGACATTCCCTTAAACCAGCATTTCTTAAAATGTGGCCCTAGGACCCTTGGGGGGTCCCCAAGACCCACTCAGAGGTCTGTAAAATCAAAATTATTTACCAGCCTATGTTGAAAAACAATACAATATTAAAATCCCATCAAATAAGAAGAAGCAACAATGGCAGAAAATGCATCCATTTTCGTTTTTAATACAATAAATATCAATAAATATAACCAATCAAACAAAACCTCTTTTGGGGTCTCTATAATTTTTTAAAGTGAGAAGGCATCCTAAGAGAAACAAAGCTCCTAAACAAATGCAAAAATTGCTGACAAACCTGATCAGTTCATTTTCAGCAAGTTAATTTTAAATGAACTTAAGCCAGCTTTCAGGTTTTGTTTATATTCTGTCCTGTTAGACCTGCATTACTTGTTCCAATAACCCATCTGGCTATTTTTCATCCCGCTCCTTACCAATTTCAGTTCAATTTCAGCTCCGCTTAAGTGTCAGAATATCATTTCCCCCCCCCCAACGTTTCTCTCTCTTTAAATAAATCCTGCTGCTTATTGGTGCGGCTGGAGGGAAAAGCCTTTTCTGTTCTCCGATTGGCTGCTTAGTCCACACCTCTTTTTACTTGATGCCTAGTGTGAGTAGTCGCTCAGATTTTATCTTCTCCCTTTGTCGGTGGGGCGCTTTCCTTCGGAGCCATGTGGTGCAGCCAGTTCTTACGGTCCCCGTTTGTTGTGGGGCAATGCAGCCCTTCGCGGGCGCAGTCTACTTTGGCCCAGCTCAAGCGCCTGCTGGAGGGTGAGCTGGAAGGTATCCGAGGGGCTGGGACCTGGAAGAACGAGAGGATAATAACATCAAAGCAAGGCCCGCATATTAACGTGGAAGGCAGCCGAGGAGGTAAGCCGTTGGGAAAACAGAAACGAAAGAGAAACGAAGCTTTGGAGAGGGGGATACAGAAACTTATTTGGCAATAGTTTCGGGAAATCATGTTCCCTTTTCTTTTTTATTATTGAAAATTTTATAAAATTTTACACTATAAATCCCCCCTCCCCCCAAACCCAACCCTCCATCCCTCCCCCCCCTCACTTCCCAGAGCCAATCACAGGATTAACAATAAAATAATCATAATCTAACTAACATTAATCAGCTATTATTCTAACAAATCTATAACTTCCTTTAACTCTCTTTTAAAACAAATATACAATTATTAAATACCATAATATTAACATAATTTTAAATATTAAAAATCAGAAGTTCATTCAAAA